GTACAGTGCTTGAGTAAATGTACTCAGTTACGTTCCACCAAACTCATCTTTCTTGATTTTTTTTTTTTTTTTGCCATTTATCTGAGATCAATGCACTCTGTCACTGACTTGTGTTTTCCACTGTTCACAGGCCTGGAACATGTAATGGCCAACAGTGAAAACTACACTGAGCGTCTGCATGTGTGGGAGGGCTGGAGGAGAGAGGTTGGGAAGAGGATGAGGCCTCTGTATGAAGACTATGTTGATCTGAAGAATGAAGCTTCCAAACTAAACGGTGATATGTCTCAAAGAAAATATGCCACTTGATGTAGTACTATTTAGGTGAAGGTAATGTTTAATAAGACACAGGATAAACATACAGAGCTGATAGTGTTCAGTAATCGTACATGACTGATCCTCCCAAGAACAAACAGCTGACCATAGCTTAGTATGGGGTTCACTGCTGTCTTGAACTCTAACTCATGTAATATTAGCAGTGCCATGGCTTACTACACCATACAATTCTCCTAAAAAACTACAAAAAACAATTCTGGTAGTGAGTTTTTTAAACTAAAATGTGTCTGTCTTACGCTTTCTTCTTCTCTTAATCTGTTCCTCTCTGACACACTAACTTGCAGGTTTTGAAGACTATGGAGCTTACTGGAGATATAACTATGAGACAATTGAGGATGACATTCAGTACAAGTACACCAGAGATGAGCTAATGGAGGATGTCCGTTCTACATACAAACAGGTACGTCCAATATCCATGTCCATGTCAGTGGATTGTATGTCTCGTTCTTCATGGCATCTACATTAATAAAAGTAAGAATGTATCATTTGTTATTGATTGTGTGGAGTGTTTGTTGTTTTTTCTTTACAGATCCTTCCCCTATACAAAGAGTTGCATGCATATGTGAGAGCCAGGCTTATGGAAGTCTACCCAGGACACATTGATTCAGAAGGACCTTTGCCAGCCCACCTGCTGGGTATGTTGAGGATTTTATTTCTTATAATCTTATAAACTTGTAATCTGTCTTCTCAGAGGCATCAAATTGCAAATATTAACCCTGTTGATATCAACCTTCCCATATGTTTTATTTTATTTTTTGCTAACAGTTTCCTTTGAATAAGTTGGGGACAGATATTCATCAGAGTCGAGAAACAAACATCACATTGTCAAAATCATAATGAGGCTTAGAGTGAAATAATTATGATTCATGTTGATTGTTTAGGTGACATGTGGGGAAGATTCTGGACCAACCTGTACCCTTTGTCAACCCCCTACCCCAACAAAACAGATATTGATGTCACTAAAACTATGGTGGAGAAGGTACAGTGCACTTTAGTTGATTATGTTATTCTTTTTCTATATTAAACAATGCCAATGAAAATATAAGAGACATTAAAAACAAGCTAGTGCATGCAGTGATCTGAACAGAACAAACAAACATTAAAATCCTCTATTCCAAATGTCAACTTGAATTTCAGGGTTGGAATGAGACTCGGCTTTTCAAAGAAGCAGAGAAGTTCTTCATGTCTGTGGGCCTTTATGAGATGTTCCCAAACTTCTGGGAAAACTCAATGTTAGTAAAGCCTGACGATGGACGTAAGGTTGTCTGTCACCCCACAGCCTGGGACATGGGAAACAGAATGGACTTTAGGTAGGAAAAAACTACAAACCATGACATAACAAGTTTGAGTGGTCAGAAGACTATTAAGTCACTGTTTAAATGTAGTCCATTTACCCTATGTTATCTTGATTCTCAAAAAGCATAGGGATAGTTGATTTAAACACAATTAGTTATTTTGCCTTTGGACAAACTTTGTTGCTATACAATCAAACCTCCAAAACAGTGAGGGCTACGGCAACCATATGGATTAATATTTGACTTTGGTTATCTTTATCAGCAGGAAAGAATAACTCAGAGATTAATCAATATCATTGTTCAAGCAAGTTCATATTTATGGCTCTTGTGTACTGATCTACAGATAGATTAAACACAGCAACATTAACCCAACGTGAACCATCTCACATGTATATAACTGTTCAAAAGCCAGGTTTCTTGGCTCCTCAATTGCCAGTTTGGGTTAAAATTACTGAATGAAACCTTGTTACTCCTCTTGTCTCCTTAAATAAGGACTTGATTTATTTAATTGAACTTCAGTGTTTGTTACATCTGACTCATCAGAAATATGTTATTGCGCTGACTTTTTTATTGGTACAGTATATCTGATACGGTATCATGCCATGTGTCACACATTATAACTGCTGACAGCAACATTTCCCCTTTTATGTCTTTAGGATCAAAATGTGCACCAAGGTCAACATGGACGACTTCCTCACAGTGCACCATGAGATGGGTCACAACCAGTACCAGATGGCTTACCGTAACCTGTCCTACCTCCTGAGGGACGGCGCCAACGAGGGTTTCCATGAGGCCGTCGGAGAAATCATGTCCCTCTCTGCTGCAACGCCCAAACACTTGCAGAGTCTGAATCTCCTGCCTGCTAACTTCACATATGATAAGGGTATTATTAACAATGACAATCATCAAACCCAAGAAATATTGGTTTTATAAAACTTTAAAGCTGTAATAATCAATAGTTTTATAATAACAATGGAATGTGTAAATAACTAAACTAAACTAAGCTCACCTTATCAGCTTAGATGTCAATGTTGAGCTTGTTTACATTACCCCGAAGTGGCAAAAAAAAGTTATTGCAGCTTTAACTTTTGAGTAACTCTGCCTTGTTTTATTTCCCCCTTAAAACATTTTTCAGAATCAGAGACAGGTTTCATTTCTCCTAAACTCATGAAAATCACCATATTGGAATATAGAATATGAAACTTTCACCCGACAGTGGCAAATATATACAAAGATCTGACCATACCAGTAGGTATGAGTAATGTGTCTGGGTTGCTGCCCTTGAATGGCATATAGGAAAAAATAGTTTCAGCAACTGCTAGGGCCACCTGGATAGACCATATCAAACCCGCATTCACCTGTTTACATCAGTGAAACCAGATAATCATGCATAACATGACTTTGGGCCCTCATAGGTGTCATAAATAGCATGTCAAATGCAGAGTGCTAAACACTTCTGGGTTTTGCAGTACACTCACTAAAATGTTCCAAAAAGTAATGTATACTACTGTAAAGATTTACTCTTTAAACATTGTTCAGAACTTATCTTCTAAAATGTTGTTTAGGTCAGAAGATTCTAGACATGTTCCATTTATATACCCTAAACAGTTTTGTGTTTTTTGCCTTGTAGAAACAGAGATCAACTTCTTGCTGAAACAGGCGCTCACCATCGTGGCCACACTGCCCTTCACCTACATGCTGGAGGAATGGAGGTGGCAGGTGTTTGCAGGGAACATAACCAAAGATGAATGGATGGAGCGCTGGTGGGAAATGAAGTAAGCAGACACCTAGTTGAAGCATCTGTAAATAACGCAGTTAACTTGTGCAGTATGTGAAAATTCACAGGTAAACTGTATAAAAATCTGCTCAAGCAAATCACATTCGGCCATAACATCAAGAGTGGCTATATATACTGCAGACATGTATTGTGGCATTTCATGTTGCATAACCTCAGCAGCTGCTTCAGATCTGTGGTTACAGCATCAACCTGACTCTCTGTTGTCATAACAGGAGGGAGCTGGTAGGGGTGGTGGAGCCAGTGCCAAGAGATGAGACCTACTGCGACCCACCAGCTCTGTTCCATGTATCTGGAGACTATTCTTTCATCAGGTAACCTTCCCACTGTAAAGCTGCACTTCAAAGAAATAAAAGCATAACATCTTAATTCCTTTGAACCTGGATTTTCTCACAATCAGCTTTGCAAAGAGGGTTACTGTATATTTTCAGGGTTGACTGTTTTCTGGTTGGCAGGATGTATTAGAAAATGTGTTAACATCAAGTTAAGGAACAAAAACACTTCCAGGTTTAAAACACTTCTGCAATAAGACATCACCTGTTTGTGTGTGTGTGTTTTTTTGTTATTGGTTGTGAATACAGGTACTTCACAAGAACCATCTACCAGTTTCAATTCCAAAAGGCGCTCTGCATTGCGGCTGGTCATACAGATGCCTTGTCTTCATGTGACATTACTGGTTCTAAAGAAGCAGGAACCAAGCTGAGGTATGGATGAAGACTTCTTGTTCTTCTACGAAGGATGTTACAGAATCAGATGTCGTTGTTTTGGTTATTCCTGTGATAAACCTACCTATCTACCTACCTAACCGCATCATTATCATCATCATCAATGTTTTTCTGTTAGGAATATGTTAGAGCTGGGAAGATCCCAGTCCTGGACCAGGGCTTTGCATACAATATCTGGGGACGATAGGATGGACGCCCGCCCCCTGTTGGAATATTTCCAAAAACTTCATGACTGGCTGAAGGTAGAGAACACGAAACACAATAGGACTGTTGGCTGGAACACAGTAACCGATCCATGTGAGTACAAAAGATATTTATGGTTATCACCACTAAAATAATGATGAATTTTTCTTAAAGTAATTGTTCAACATTTTGGATAATATGCTTGTCCGCTTTCCTGCTGAGGGCTGAATGAGAAGATTGATTCTAATCTCATGTCTGTATGACACTATACGACGCAATTTGAAACTACAACTGGCAGCTGTTTGGCTTCGCTTAGCACAAAGACTAGAGCATAAAGCTCACAAAAAACACATTACATCTTGTTTGTTTAATCTATACAGAAGCCAAAATGTTAAAAACAAACTGTGGTTTTATGGAGGGTTATGTGGTTTGCTGTTAAAAAAGGGCCAAGATGTAGAAAAAAAATATATCCTTGTAGGCATTTTTAAGGAAGTAGAAAAAACACAGACTTGAGTCACTGGTGTTTTCATGAAACCACATTAATTTACTAGAAGGTTCATTTCTGAAGAAAACAGAAGATAACAGTTTCATGACTTAAAATCAAAAATGACTACTACATGACCCATTGTGGTGCTACTTGTAATTTGTTTTACTATGTCAGGCACATTCCCATGGACAACGGTGTAACAAGTTTGTTTGTATTAATGATTAAAAATTCCAATTTATAGTGCCCCCTACCAGTGAAATTTCAAACTTTATAGACTTGTTCTCTGTCCCTATCTGTAAATGGTGTCGAGAGTTTTATGCAATTTGATGCATTCATGAGTTATGGCAATTTATGTGTATTTGGCATTAACATTTTGTTAACCAATTACAAACAGTAGGTGATATCCAAAAACAAATCCATGTTGATCGGGGTCAGCCAGATATGTTATGTACCACGTCTGGTGAAGATTTGATGAAATATAGAAGATATAAGCTGTGTTTAGCAAAAATATATCATAATTTAATCAAATTAATTCCTTCTTTTTTTTTTTTTTTTTACAGATTCAAAGTATGCCATTAAAGTGAGACTAAGTTTGAAGGCTGCAATGGGTGATAATGCTGTGAGTATTATTAATCATTATTAGAAGTATTAAAATACCTGACTACACGTAAAATGAATGTTGCACCTTTGAAGTGAACTTCAGTCTGTTTAATATCATAACAAAAATTAATCAGCTAAAATATGTTTCAGTATTCCTGGAATGCCAACGAGCTGTTCCTGTTCAAGGCCAACATTGCGTATGCTTTGAGGCAGTACTACAGCGAAAAGAACGAGACCCTCCTCTTCACGTCAGTATGAACTGCCAAACCAAAAATATGAAGAATATATAAAATGTGCTTTATTTTTCTCTGACTATATTGTTACCACATTTGTTTAAGAGCTTTTCACTGTTTGCATCTTCAGATCAGAGAACGTTCTCTCGTATAAGGAGACTCACAGAATCTCCTTCTACATCGTGGTCACCAACCCAACAAATCCTTCCACATATATCCCAAAGGATGATGTGGAGGCTGCCATACGGTGAGGCACTAACTTCATTTGACAGTGCAATATTCCTGTTGTATTTTACCCTGAATGTTTGACATACTTCCTAAGCAGCTGTAGTAGTAACGCTAATTGAGTCTATGTTGGATCATTTTTAGTCACACTAGCTCAAGGCACAGCGTCACAGAGCTGCTAGCATGACTGTAGACTCTTAAGTGTGGCTTTTTGCTTCTTGATAACATTTATATAATAACTCCAATATAATATAATATAAACTCCATACAACCTTCCCTACAGACACTTAATAGGTGTGAGCGTTAATAAACCCATTGTGGTATTGATCCTAGGTTATGTCGAGGTCGGATCAATGATGCCTTTCAATTGGATGACAAGACGCTGGAATTCGAGGGTATTCTACCAACACTGGCGCCTCCTGTGGAACAACCGGTGGAGGTGTGGCTGGTGGTGTTTGGGGTGATCATGGGAATAGTGGTTCTAGCAGGCATCTACCTCGTCGTCTCTGGTGTCAGAGAGCGCAAAAAGTGAGTTTGCGTTTGAGACTGAGACCAATTTCCACCATGTTAGACTAATTGCTTGCATAACTGTGTGACATGTTGTGTTTCTTGTGTGTTTGTAGGAAATCTGAAAAGACAGAAGTGGAGAATCCCTACAATACATCCCTTGGTGGACAAACTAACAAAGCGTTTGACAACAGTGATGATGAACAAACTGGATTCTGAGTTCACTGCTGCCACTGAAGAACAGGAGGAAGGATTGGTGTCCTAAATGCTTATGCACAGCAGACACATTGTCCAGGAATGGGAGAGTGAAAATTCTGTCTTGCTGTCTTTCATCAGTGCTGCTCTTATCAAACATCAACACTACTGCTAAATGTGCATATGTGTCAAAGTTAATTTGTCAAGGATATTTTCCCTTACAAACAGTTGTATAGTAAATACCCTAGTAAAAAATTATACTTATTTGTACTTAATTGTAGTATACTAAGTATACTTCCATGTGAATGTACTCAAAGTGCTGTGTTTATATTTAGTGTATAATCAATATATAAGTAGTACAACTTAACAAATACTTAACTACACTTAATTTTAATGCACTACTTTGAGATATCATTAAGTTGTAATTAGGTGTGCCTAGGTACACTTTTTGTGATAATGATGGACGTTTACGTTGTTTAAATATGTCCATGTCGAAAAGTATATTTAAATACAATTATCATGCACTTGTGCAAGTCTAGTCAGTAGTATTTTAAGTCAGGTACTTATATCATTAATACTCCCAGTTAGCACAATTAAAGTACAGAAATCAAAGCACACGTTTAAGTACAGTCTTAAAGAATATTTAAATACCTGATAAAATGTGATTTAGCTGTATTAGTTTCAAGTCTTATTTCCAGTAGGTTCTTTCAGGAGGTATTGTGTTTTTCCAATGCAGCTTTCAGATTGTTTTTTTGTGATTTACAAAATGTCCTACCTTTCCTTTCGCTGTTGTAATGTGAATTTTTAAGTATTCAATTTTGTTTCAGGATATTTGATCAAAAGAAAAAAAATTGTGTTTGTCCATATTATTATTTTTAATATGTTATATCATGTAAAAGGCTTTGATGGTCAAACATTTTTGTAATACTATTTGATATTTTTACTTGTGTTAAAATATCTAATTAAATGGTGTTGGTGTCATCTGGTCGACAGGTGAATAAGAAAACATTCAATTAATAAGAAAGTGTTCAATTAGGAAACAATGCTAAACATTACCAACAAACCAGTTATTAAGAAGTCAATCAATGTCTCATGCTCAGGCTCATGTTAATAGTTCATCTCATACTGTATGCTTGTTCACAAATTCTCTTAATAATATACATTTGAAAATGTTAAATAAAGTTATTATCACATCACCTTGTTTTTTTATACTTTGAACATGTGTATTTTTTAATTAAAGTCACATCTCGAACACATAATATTCATGCTTGTAAAAAACAAAAACAATAAGCTGATTAACAACAAATGACATCAAAAGTCTTAACCACATATACACATATACAAAAAACATAATGTGAAAAATATAGAGTCATATGATACATATCTACGCGCTTCTGCAATAGCAGAATATGACACAGCGACATCGGTTCCTGTCACTGGACCAGGTGGCTCAAACAAAAGAGCTTCTCTTATGTATTTTCTTTTGTTTAATATCATCTTCAAGTCCCAAATAAAATTCAAAATTTTAAATGTTTAACTGACTTGACTGAGAACTGAGAATACTTCTGGAGAAAGTGATTCTCCATCACTTCTGAATGATAAAGAGGAAATGCTCTTCCGTCCTTCCATCCAGCGTTCCCATTTCCACTAAGTCTGTGTTGGCGATATGGATGAACCAGCCGAGATGCAGTGCTGATTCAAACCTGCGCTGCTTTGACCTGTCAGCCTTCATGTAGAAGACGAAGGAGAGGGTGCTCTCATCACTCTTGGAGATCTGCTTCAGCCTCTGCTTTTCACACGTCTACAAAAAAAAAACGTGTGGATATCCATCACAGAGAGCACAGGTTGGCTGTTCAGCAATTACATGATTTCTTTGCTTGCAAGTATCACAAGCATAATAACAATCACAATGAAAGAACAATTCTCTATAACATACATCCATTTAACATCTTTAATCTTACTTTCCTGAAACAGTAGTAAATATGGATGTTGGTCGGTACACCACTTTGGTCCAGACTGATATATCTATATATATAACAACTATTTAATGGAGTTTTAATGGAGTTTAATGGATAGACATACATTGTTCCCAAATCTGACTTTTCATCTGGTGCCATCATCAATATTTGGTTTATGAGCAAATACCTGCAAAACTAATTAAATTCTTATCGGCCTGAATTACTTTGTATTTAGTGCTAATTAGCAAATGTTAACATGCTAAACTAAGTCAGTTAACGTGGTAAACATTACTTGCTAAACATCAGCATGTTAGCATTTAGCTCAAACCACCGCTGTGCCAAAGTACAGCCTTGTAGCCTCATTGTGTCCTTTGAGTTAATATGGAAACGCTGGTGTAAAAAAGTCAAAAAGTGCAGTACATGAAATGGGATCAAATGAATGTAACCCCCCTTCTGTGTTACATACCCTGATGTTCAGATATATTATATGTTGGCTATTGTGTTGCCTCAGGTGGCTGATCTCCTCATCTAACAAAGCAATAAAAAAGGGGCAGGAACTTTGGTTCATTGTCTCTGTTGCACTTCCAGCCTGATCGGACTTCAGTTTGTTGTGGTTCCTTGTTTTCTGGTGGGACCGGTAGTTCCGTTTTCTGGGTTTTATTTCTGTTAGTTAGGTTTAGTTTCCTAAAGTTTTAGGTTTATGGTAGAGAGAAGCATTGATCCTTCAGCCCTATCTGGTGGTCTGGGCTGCTTTCCTTCTTTTTTCTCTTGTTTTGGCATCTCCTGACTATTTGATTATTTTAGACCATTATTGAGCACCTCAAACTTCTATTTCCAGGTGACTGTACGAAACAGGTGGATAAATCTAACTATGTGTACATTCACTCACTCAATAGTAGTTATTACCTCCACTTTTAGGAGCACCATCCCCCCTTCCTTACAGCACCTGAGGAAGCAGTTGGAGTCTGTAAAGTTTAGGACCACTGGCATTCCTCTGAAAAACCTTTCCACAACGTTTGACTTGTAGGAGTAGATGGTGATCCTCTCTGAACACAAAAGAATCAGAAGCAAATTACAAGTAATAATGAGTGAATTAAGTGAGTATGATAGTATAGTATGTGTCATGTCGCTGTAGGCTGCTCTGAATGACTAACCTGGATTTGGTGAAGCATAGAGGGTCTTTTGAGAACAGAGACTTCGGATGTATTTGTGTGTGGCCACGTTTTCAATTGAAACATTTGACGGCTTTTCCTGTTTGAAACTTCCTCTTGGAACTTAAAGTGACATGGGACAATAAAACAGAGGTTAGGTAAGATATAATTTATATCCTCTTTATCAGAAGAAAAGTACTTGAGTGGATTAATATCTCACTCAGTCACTTATCTGTATATGAGTAGGTGTTTACCAATAGAATTGTGATGGTACATTAGTGATCATGATAATAACAACTTAGTAACATATGTCTTCTTGACCTGTCAACTCTTCATGAGGTTACAGGAAGGTTAGACTTTTCTGAACTTCTTTTACACTTATTCTGTGAGTCCGTAGTGATAATATCAGAGCCAGAGTAGCTAATTTAAAGACGGTTAAGGATTTTTTTCTGTATATTGGTGCCAGCAAATGTAATAAGCTACTAGTGTAATTTTAAGGTATGTGTACTTTACTTGAATATTTCCATTTGAAATGAGTGAGTGAGATTTCCCATCAGATGGTTTCATTAAAATACACTAACTGGTCAAGTATTCCAATATTTCACAAAAGCAGCAACAGCTTAAGAAAGGATTAAAGAAAAGTCCCAAAAAATAAATAAAATGTTTGTATCAGAAGTTTGTTTTTTCTTCTTTCCAACCCCATTAATCATCTCATGATCCCTCGGATTTATGTTGTGACCCTTAGGAGGGGCCTGAACCCTAGGTTGGGAACCACTGGACTAAACTACCAAACTGTTAGTGTTAAAAAACTTCCAACAGCTACAGTAGTAAAGTACAACATGGAAATGAATCATTAATACATCAACATTATCCAAAAGTTAGTAATAAACTACTACTTTTACTGAACTAATTAACTACGTAGCAACTATTATTAGTTGTAGTAAGGGAAGATAAAAGAAGAGAAGACAAGAAACTAAAACCCAACTTACTCACCAAGCGTCACTGTGCTTGATTCTGCTGTCACTATCACATCGTTAAAGGTGCATCCAGTCCCATGACATCCCTGACAGGGGCTTCCAGCATTGCAGCCTCTCCCTCTCACCACAGAGATGCTGGTTTTTGTCATGGAAACAATGAGAAGACCACTACCCTCCCCATTCTCCTCATTTTCAGCTTTGCAAACATCCTCCTCTATACCCAGATCCTCCCTTCCTCCGTTGTCCTGCCTCACTTCATTCTCCTCCAAGTCTTCCTCCCTCCTCATCTCCATGTTGAAACTGAGTAGAGTGGACTCCTTGGAGACGGGATGTAAAGTTTCCTCTGCTGGGCAGGGTTGCTCAGTGTGTGGCTTCATCCTACCAGCCTTGTGCACAGTCTACGGACCAAAAGCAAGGGTGAGGTGGGGGGATGTGGCAGAGAATGTGGTCAGATTGAGGGTTGACTCTGCCTATTTGTGTCTGACACACTAAAAAGCTACCTAAATGTACGTAGACTATGCAATCTTGTGTCATGTTGACCTATTTCCAGTGCAATATTATATATATATATATAGCTTTATTTCCATTCATCTCAATTATAAAAAAAATAAAAACAGACACATATCTTGTGAAAAGAGACTCAACATGCAATATTTTTGCATGTGAATTCAGTCAACCACACATGTATAACCAGTTTAGAGAAAGCGACTTATAAAGTAACAATGTAACATTTTTATAGATTTTTCTCTAAAAATAATGAGGACTTGTTTTATGCAACAATACGTCCTTGAAATGAACTCACCAGCATTGGATTACCCTTAGCTAACATTTCTGCCAACTCATTAGGTGTGAGATCCTGCAGGTCTAGGCCGTTTATCTGCATCAGTTTGTCTCCTCTCCTGAGAAAAAATAGAAAAAATAGTAATGAGTACTGTATGCCTAACATTCTATGTATATACACACTATTATTATTATTATTATTATTATTATTATTATTATTATTCAGCTGTACATTTTTTCTAATTAAAACTTGTCAACAACCCAGAGGGGACAAAGCATCTCAAATGCAGAAAAATAGGAAACTCTGTTACACTGGCATCACTCAGTTTGTTGTGTCTCTTTAATATTCAAGAAACGGTCTGACCATTTACCTTCTAGAATAGAGCTGCAGAGCATGGATTGAAATCCATTAATTAATTAACGTTTCAGTCTTTATATCGATAGAACTGGTGGTCTTGACCAAGGCTTTCTT